TCATCTGCATGGAAGTGTTTCTTTGGTCATGAGTATTAACAGGTATCGTATTTTAAAAGCTGGAAAATCATGTTACCACAGTTTTGCTTTTTGCATTCCATTACAATTCTTAATGTGTAGAGGTCTAGGAGCTCTGAGTTACATTGTTTGGAATCTCTGCATATAACATACTGCAGGGAGATGGAAAGTCATAAAAAGGAAGAGAGATTCCATTACTGCAGTCATCCCCAATTTTTTTTGGGTAGCCACTCCCTTTCCTTTTGGACAATAGCCCTAGCACCCCCTTGCATCTTTGTATTAGGTCTATTGCTTTACTGAAATGTAAAACAACCAATCACCACCACCCTGGATTGTTCCACCCATCACAAGGGGTGGTGGGGGGCAGCACCATGTACGTTGGGAATCTCTGCCCTAGCGTAAAACAAGAGCTCTCCGCAGACTAAAGTAAGAAGAGAAAGAAAGAAGGAAGAAGCATTGATTCTGAACCAAACTCTTTACTTGAAAGGGAGGGAGGATGGTTTGAGGACAAGCAATAGTTCAGAGACTATTTTGGGAGTTCACCAATGGAAAGGAATGCAGGAGCAGCAGTAGTAACCAGTATCTTCTCCACCATCACCTTCATCGAGCCAGTGTGGTATGCTGGTTAGAGTATTGCACTGGGGACCTGGAAAATTCAGGTTCTAGTCACTTTTCAACTATAAAGTTGACTGGGTGACTTTGGGCCACTTGCTCACTTCTCAGCCCAACCTACCTCACAGGGTTCTTATGAGGATACAGTGGTGCTATGTAAGCCACCTTGAGTTCCTCACAAGAAGAAGAAGGAAGGATATAAATGCAATGCAATAATAATTATTATAAGTATTTGCCTAAGTCCTTCTCCATCTTACCTCTTCCACGGGTTTTTAATAGTTTTTTGTATTTAAGAGGCCATTTGTGTGCACCATTGCATACTCTTTTCTTTTGTTTTCTTTGCTGAGCACTCTGGAGATGAAATTGACAATTTATTTAAACAATTGCTCTCCATTACTAGAGATAGAAAGGCAAGTAGATCAATTATATCAAAAGATGGATTTGCATGCTGTATTATGGTAGCACACCTGAATCTTCTTTCAGGACATTATGATCCAGCATCCAGTGGAGATCCTTGAATAGGGCCTTCTCTTGCACTACCAGTGGGGTGTGTGATAACATTTGAAAACAGTGGAAGAATTTCAAGTGATAATTATCTGACTTCAAAATGCACATGTGATTTTACAGCAGGGATATTTCCAGATTAAGCTTCTATGGTGTTGTCACCCTCATTCACAAAACAATTATGAGGGGTCCAGAGAACATCCTCTTCTATGCATAACCATCCAGTCTTTCCTTGCTATTCCTTCCAACTTTTTCTTACTGGAGAAAATTTGTTAAGGAGAAAAAGGTGGAATAGCTGCACAATGCCTTGCCATTGGTAGCTCTAGGATCGCTTCATTTGGAAACATCCCTTGTGTTCTAGTCATATGGCTTCTACTTTAGAAACTGCAAGCACAGGCAAATCACTGAGAAATGGGTTCAATTAGTACATGAATGCATTCCATTATTAAATGAATTAATAAATCAAATCAAGTTTAGAGCAAAGACTCAAGTCCACATTCCAGTTCATCAGGAAAACCAGTGGTTTATTTGCTCTAAAAGGTCACTTCTTGATTAAAGGAAATACCTGGTGCAAAAAAACAAGAAGCTGGGAATGCAGTGCAGGAGTGTCAGGAAGCACAACTGTCTTATGCTTCTTGTTCTCATTGCGTTTTTGTATCACCTACAATAGAACATTCTTTTATTTCCCTCTGTATAAATTTTCAGTGGTGAGACAGCATGTGCATCTTGCCTGCTGGGGCTTGATGGCAAAGCTCTACTTCTGTATTGCTAAACAGCAGAGAAAAAAAGAAAGAAGCAGTAGTTATTCTTCCAGTTCTCACTATATTTTTGCAGTATTTGAACCTGTTCTCTGGTTCCCAGCCAGTACCTATGAAGACAAAACTGACAGTACAATATACAACAGAGATATAAAACCTAAATGAAGCAGAGCACCAAGTTTCCCACTCAGTAAGTACTCAGGAATCACACCCATTATTCTTTCTCCACCAAATGTCAATTCCCATCTCCTTTTGCTGAATACAGTTTGCCCAAACTCCCATCCTTTTGCTGTCCACCCACTTGTTTCAGTCACCCAAGGAAGAACACACTGCTAGGACTGGGGATACTGTGCTAGAGTAGAAGTGACATGATCATCATGCCTATTCACATAAAAAATGGAACATATGGTTGACATTCTTAAGCAAAACATGTATGGGAGAGGGATGCTGATGCTCTTACCCCTCATATCTTCATATTTGCAGTTAATTGCTCAGCTCTTTTTTCCCCATCACTAGATCTGGTATCAGAAGTGATCTAGGAAATGCCGGGCCTGCTTTAGAAATGCCCATCTTCCAAAAGCTGCCCGGTATGGTCCAAATAAATTTCTAATCCGGGATCCATTATGTTTGTCTCAAAGCTCACTTCCTTATGCCTGCTGCCTTGCCCCTCACAGTCGGAGTTAAATGGCAAGCTGGCACTGATTCTGTTGCAAAACAACCATTTGTGGCTTCTTGGCTCAAGAAAATGTTGTGTGGAGGGCTGGAGATCATGTTGTGTTCTCCAAGAACCCGATGAAGCCCAAGATCCTTGTTTGACACTCCCAATCTACATAATCTCTTTAGGATTTACAGAGATATATAGACCTAGGCATTTTCACTACAAAAGAGCAAATCCTAGGACTGATTCACACAGTTCCTTAACGTACAATCCCATGCAAGTTTAGACACAAATCAAACCTACAATGCCCAGCATGGCCCAGCCAGAATGTCATCTACCAGCTGGAAGCTAGACCTGTTTTCTGTCTAAAGTTGCACAGGATGGTGGCCATAATTGCTTTAAATCTTGAATGCAGGCTGGGAAGAAACAGTTGTGTGCTAAGCTGAACTGGAATGCTTTCCCTACCACTGCAAAGATGCACTTCTTCACACTTGCTTTCTTGTGTAGCTCCTACATCAGTTTTCTGCAACCTGGTACTCTTGCAATGTGTTAGGTGTCTCCAGAATATGGTCTCAGCATCTCCAGCCAGAACAATCTGAGTCTTGCTGTCTGGGGTTTATCTGGAAGGCTGTCCTACACCCACCTATTAGGTCTCAACTTGGAAATCAGAAGTTGGAAGTCGTTAAGGCTATGTGTCAGTCTGGAGACACACACCTCCTTCGTCCCCAGCAAGCAAAACCTGCGAGAATCCTAAACCTAGGAATAAGTCCCATCGAACATGATAGGGGTTACTTTCTTCTGGGTAGAGACATATAGGATTGCAATGTAAAGAATAAGATAACTGCAACCTTTGTTGTTGCTCCTGTAAATCTTGCCTGGCAGCTCTTGTTTAAAAAATTAAACACTGAGGTCCGGTTGTAGATTTTAGGTTTGGTTTTGCGGGGCGGGGTAGCAGCAGCAGCAGCAATGAAAACCTATTTGGTTAGCATAATTGATTGTGAATTGAGCAGGGATAGCATTATGTATTTTTAACTCACAGATCCCTTGTTGCTTGCAGTGAGTACAGTTTGGAACGAGCAAGATTTCGCTTGATTTGGAAGTTAAGGCTAGGGGTGGCGGGACACCATGCAGCGTGCAGATTTCCCCCCTCTTTGACTTCTGAAGGGCCCCTCTTGGCTGACGTGATATGAATTACGGAGTGGGATGGGCAGGCGAGGAATGGCGTTCATTCCCAGCTACTGGGCATGCACACGAGGCAGCGTTTGGCGGGAACGCGGCACGAAAGGGCGGGCGAAGCTCGGCGCTCGTGCAACGCCGGGGGGGGGGGGGGCAGGCGCGCCGGGCCGGGCCGGGCAGCAGGCGCACGGGGGCAGGCCCCGCGCTGGGCGGCCGGGCGAGCAAGGGGGACCGGGCCGCTGCCGAGGCGACGGCGGGAAGCGGCGGCTACTCCGCGGCATTGCCTGCGTGACGTCACCGCCCGGGCTGGCTATAGGCTGCGAGCTGAGCCGACTGGAGCGGCGGCAGCTCCGGCTCTGCCCGCTTCATTCAGTGCTTCTCGCAGCCTCGGTGCGACCGCGGCGGCAACCGGGGGCTCCTGGCAGACCTCTCGTCCCCCTCCCGCACACGCATATATTCTCACATCTATCCATACCACGGCACAGGTAAGGGACGGGGAGCGGCGCCTCTTCCCGCTCCGTCGCAGCCCACCCGCCGGCCCCGCGCCAGGGGCTTTCCGCGGGAGCAGCCGGCTGCCGCCTCACCTGCGGTTCCGGTGGGTGGTTAAGAAGGGGAAGCCCAGAAGAGGCTCACGGTGGAAATCTGCCCGTGTCCAAAGTTTGCCAGGCTCTGGAACTTGGGCTGGGGGGGGCGGGGTGGGGAAGGCTGGACGAGCAGTAAACGCCCAAGCGGCTGAGTTAATTTAAGAAAATAAGATTAATTGTTTAAAAGGCTTTTCTGTCTATCTAGCATGCTGTCCCGTCTCTCTCTCTCTCTCCTGGGATGTGGAGACAGCTGGGATTTATATTATGCAGTCCTCAATTTGCAGGGTACAGTGTTGCATTTTAAATCTCTTCATCCACAGCAGACAGTGGCTCATTATTCCAAGTGCCACCGCTGAAGCGTGTTTGTGTGTAGACTGTTTTGGGGGTTGGCAGTGGAATATTGTGCTGGAAAGGTTCGTGCTGGCTCTGGTGGGAGGTTAAAGGGAAATGAACAAGACAAGAAGGTGGTTTTGGGCAGCATCCCACTGTCTTTGTTTTAAAAAATGCCGATGAAAACTCATCCTTGTCTTATTTTTCAGGCTGGATCTTGATTTCCTCTAGTGAAGGAGAGAGAGAGTGTGTGAAGGCAAAGGAATTTCCCAAACAAGTGTAATAGCATCGCCAGCATCCCAGTACAAGCATCTGCAGCGAAAGGAGGACTGTTCCCGTCTTTACAAAAAAGCCTCCTCAATGAGTGCCAAGCTCTCCAAGGAGTTGAGGCTCTCCCTGCCAACCTGTCTCTTCAATAGGACATCTGGCTCTTCAAATACAAGTAGCGCCTGCATCACGCAAATGGGGCAGCTTTTCCAGTCTTTCTCGTCCACTTTTGTTCTAATTGTTCTAGTCACCCTCATCTTCTGCCTGATTCTGCTCTCCCTCATTACTTTCCACATCCACAAGAGAAAGATGAAGAAACGGAAAATGCAAAAAGCTCAGGAGGAATATGAACGGGACCACTGCAGCAGCACCAGCACCAAAGCGGGTGATACATATGAAATTCCCCAAGGAAGAGAACCGTCCAGGCTAGGAAAAACCACTCCGGATTCTAGTATCCAGTGTACTTCTGCCCCAGAACCTCAGAACACCCATCCCAAAAGATCATGTTTGGACACAGATACTCAAGAGCTTTTGCAAACAGTGGTATTGTCTTGATTTTATTCATTGTTTTTTGTGGGGACTTCACCAAAAGACACTATTTGGTGTTTGTACATATTTGAGTGGTTATTATTATAATCTTGAAGAAGACAACAGTGACAAAAATTATTATTACTATTAATAATGAAAGAACCAACAAACCAGAAGTGAAATGTATGACAAATTTCATTGCATTTCTCACTGACTTTTTGCAAAAGAAAGGATACGTCTATTTATTTATTTACTCTTTTGGAGAAGACAAGGAAAAGCTGCACAGTGTTACCAAATATAAAATAATCTTCCTGAAAGAAATGGTGCAGCCAGTACAATTGTGATGTACATATATAAGCGTTCCAAATTACATAGAACAGTGAATCTATATTTCTCTACCCTGCTTTATTGGGAATTATACTTAACTGTAACAGTATTTAAAGGACTGTTTTTAGATCAACTGCCAGTAAGGAAAATGGGAGGGACAGTTAAAATGGGGGAGGGTGTAGCAGAAAGGGAGAGAGGACTTCTAAATGTGTGTTTGGAGTCCTCAGTAGCACTGCGGAGCGGGGAGGGGGACTGTTCCTTTGCCCAATTTGCAGTGAAGAATGAGCTGACCTTTCTATAAGGTTTTGCATGGAAGTAATTGTACTTTTTTCCAACATTACCACTCTCTTTTTTAGAGATGGGCTTTTGTTTCATTTTGAAATATCTGCCCCTGCTTAAATGTAAGGAAGATAGAAATGTCCTCCTACCACCCAATGCAATTTCCCTTCTTCTTTTAATTCTCTCGCTTTCTCTCTCTGCAGTATTACATACCCAGTGCCCTGCAAAGCAGCGAATGCCAGACAGTTTAGCTATGCTTCTATATCTATATCTATGGGAGGGAATTGGGTTGTTACTTCACAGGAATGTTTTGGGTTGTATCTTTCTCTCTCTCTCTCTTTAGGCATTTTCAAGTGTAACAGCTGTTTTCTTATATTAAATCTGAAATAAGATACCTTTTGTGGTGACCATGACCAAGGTGACGTGCAGTAACTTATTTTATCATCCGATCTCTTAAAACATTGTCACACTGTTGGTAGGAAATCCATTTCATAGCAAATCCTAGGGCCCTTCCTCTGCAATATATTCTGGTTTACCCTAATTCACAGCACCCTACTAAAAACTGAATTTAGCATATGAAGCTGTCTTCTGTTCTTATCAGGATATATCTTTGGCATGACACTATGTGGTGACTGCATAATCCACTCTTTCCTTCTTAGTTGTTTCTGTGAATTCAGACCCAAAGGGACGTGTGTCAAATGGCATATATTAAAACACAGTGAAATATTTCAAATAAGATGGATCAGGTTTTCCCAAGGAGAAATAACCTAAAATTGCTTGAGGAAAGTGAGTGAGTGACTGCCTGGGATGCATGTTATTAATAATGGAGGGAGTAAACTTGCTTAAGATAACCACTTTTGAGCCCCATTGACGTTAACAGATGAAAGCTAAGTATGTGCCTTACACTGCAATCAATTTCCATATACTTAGAAGTGAGTCCCATTGAAAACAGTGAGACTTTCTTCTGAGTAAAGATTCAGAGGACTATATTGTCCCCCCTCGGAGCAAGTGGGACTTAAATGTACTTAACTTTACCAGATACTTCCTGAAGGGTTTTGGTTTTTCTTGCTGTTTTGTTCTGTTTTTTGCAATTATTTTCTCATTTCATTTAAAAGAAATGTTATTTACAAGAAAAGCAGTTGATTTGGCTCAACAGTGACTTCGTTAATAATTGGCTATTATTCTTTGCTGCAGGTGCCTTAAGTAAGTGGGCTATTGTCTAAAATTCCTAAAATCTTTTGTGTACAATACTCAACAAGGTGGACTCTTTTAGGTGTTTGTTAATTAATAACAAAAACAATGAAGGAAAATAAATGGAAGATGACATCTTCTAGATACACATTAAAAAGTAAAGACTGAGTGGATTAAATGTTCTCACTATCTTTATGTTCTTCTGCACATTCTATTCTTTCCTTCCTCCAGTGATGGTAGAAGTATAATTCTTTTAAAGCAAGCTACACTTCTTTAGATGAATTGATTGTAGGGGATGGTTTGAGGAGCACCAGGAAGGACAAATTTTAACAACTTAGGTTGCAAATCCCATTGTGGGGCATCAAAACATAAAGCTCTGGGTTCATGTCTATTCTATATATTCTCTTTCTATTCCCCTTTGCCCTCTTGGCTAATTAGATGAAAAATTGTTGCTGAGCTAGAATGTATGCTTCCAGTGCTTTTAGACAAGTGCTCCATCATTGAGCCAAAGGTAGCTTGATTCAGAACCTCATGATAATGTATCATGCCAAATACCCTTTGTATTGGCAATTAAGATTTAAGCAATGCAGTTATATAAAACTGGCACCTCATGCCTTTCTTCACTAGATACAATTTTATTTATTTTCTGGCAGTCATTCTGTTCCTCTGAAGTATGGTATCAATTTTAATTCTCGGTGGGATACACCTGCAGACTGAGGTGGAACACTCTAGGGACAGATTTATCACCTCAGCAAAAATTAGGCCTCACTCCCATTAAAGCCAGTGTAACAATCCAGCTGTGACTGGTTGAAGTTCCATTGTTTTCAATGGGACTTTGGCTTAGTTGACACAGAGGACAAGGCAGGAGATACATGATGTCTGAGCTGTACCACTGTAGGTGACAGATGGGGCTTCATCTATTGGGCAGTATAGAAATGTCATAAATAATCATAAAAATAGATTTTGTGAATGAGGGGCCTATTCTCAACTTCTTCCAACATGTAATCTTTAAAACAATGTTAATGTATGTAATCATGTAAGCTACCACAGACAATCAAAAGTAGTAGAACTGAAACCAACTGAAATCACATTAGGGGGATCTAGAACAATGTCCCTATTAATCTAGCGGGACTGGGATCTCTCTGTGTATGTATATATACAAGTAAGTCTTGATGTACCTAAAATTATGGGCTGTAGATAGGATTACTGGGTATGATCCAGCCAAGGCAGGTACATTCATACCCCATTGATAACAATGGAAAATATAGAAGCTGTTATCTACCTATTGATTTGGCGGTAAGGTTCATTGAACTCAATGGGACATAGTTTTAAATAGAGATGTATAGGATTGCACTGTTACACCCATATATATTTAACTCACTCCCATGGAAAACAATGAGAATTACAAGTGTTTTTTCTCTGCCTGGACTAAGCCCATTATTTTGCTTCCATTGATTTTGTGCCTTGCTGTTATGAATACTATTTTTGTTTTTATGATATCCAAATAGCACCATGTTGCAAATCACTCCAGTGTATTTCAGGCTAAGGATTCTACCCTAGTATCTGAAATCAATCGTATGCTTTCCTCTCTTAGCCACTCAGTGCATGTAGCAATTCCCCAGAGTTGCACTGTCCATCAGACTTTGCTGCAATTAGAAAATTGTGCCATTTGTGGAGAAGGCTATAAAGGGATACATCAGAGCAGTCTGTATTTTAAAATGCAAAGTGGTCTGTATTTTAAAATGCAATGGAATGATTTATAGCTTGTATACATTAGCAAAGATCACCAGTTTTGTTAGCCATCCTTGTTTTGTGATATCCCTGTTAGGATTGAAATGGGCTAGATTGTGATTCACATTTGAGTTTATTTTCCAAGAACTGAGAGATAGTCTTTTATTTAAGGGCTTGCTTAAAAATAAACAGCAATTCAGCGTGCCTTAGAACACACACACAAAGTGCCAGGTATTAGAAATGCAAGGTATTCTGCTAAAGACCGCAGTAAAGGTTAATGAGGGCATTGAGCTTACAACAATCATTCTAAACACTTTTAAGCATTAGCTCTAAAGGGTTTATTTGAATAGGTTTGGGGAAGCAAGATGATCAGGCGATGTGTAGATTTAATGTCTTAAAGAACAATGTAAGAGTAGCTAGAATGTTTTTTCCAAAGGGACTTGGGGCACAGAGATTCTGTCAAATCAATTGCTTCAAAACCCAACAGCTACAACTAAACTTCTCCACTTATCATTCAGTATTAATAAGGTAGATGATTCTTTCACTTTGAATCAGAATAGCAAAGCAAATGGTTTACATTAACTGAGGAGTCTAACAGTGAATTCTATAATTGTTTATGCAGAAGTAAGTCCTGCTATGTTTAATTAGGCTTACTCCAAGATACATCTGTTTACACTTGTAGCATAAGGCTGCAATTCTATAACATTTATGTGAGAGTGCATTCATGTATTAATATGGCAGATTAGGTTGTAAGACTGAAAACTGATGAAAGCTTTTAGGAGACCAATAACTTCTAGGATAAACTTAATTGCGTTTACTTCTGAGAAAATACACTCAGGATTGCATTGCTAGAGGCTGCTGTATTGCACTGTCAATAGCCTGTGAAACACATTTTTTGATGTCTGCTGTGGTCTGTGATCAAACTGTTCTTGCAGTGTTTCAAGGGTTACATCAGAAAAGCCAAACCAAACCCCTGAGAGCGTAACAGATTGGATAGCGCCCATTCTGAATGAGCCATTCCCATGCCAGTGATTAGCATGTTTTAGTAATGATGTACATCTTATGTTTTAGTACCCTGTGTGGCAAATTGGTTGCATTTTCACAGATGCACCCATACGGCCATAGTTCAAATTACTGGAGGGGTGTATGTTACATTTTAGGTGCTGTTTTAGAAGACTATGAAGGAGGGACACAATTTGGTTAAAGGAAGTCAGCTCATAGATTTCATGGCTCCCCTACCTTTTTTGTTCCTTTGTATTTCAAGCACTGCATGTAACCTTTTCTTCCTGCTGCTGCTGCCTCCTCCTCTTCTTCCTCTTCTTTTTAAAGGACTGACTCTACAAAGCTTTCCTTAAAGGTGTGAAATTGACTAAATCGGAACCCTCCTGCAATCGGCTAAAGTCAATTTCACCATATCATTGGCATGAAGCAAATGGGGTTTTCCATTTCCTCCTATTTCCGTTAGCGGAGCAGAGATTCAACCTTTGAGCCAATGAGAA